GGAGAGAACGAGGAGGGATAGAGCCAAGTGAAGTAACCTCGCGGGTGAGGGAGAGAGTCGAGCGAGAGATCTCTTATCTTCATATTATCTATAGGTTATTAGCATTATTTTCTTAGAAGAGTTAGGGTTTGAGGACGAAGACCAACAGTCAGTGCAGGAGATCCCTCGTCTCTGGTTGCCATCTTGGAGCTGAGTGGGGGAGGGGGCCTCGAATGCTTAAGAGTTTTGTGGTCGACGGCGACGTCTTTCTGGTGATGGTCTCATAGTGCTTTTGTGAATAAGATTATTTCAATTCTTTCTCATGAAGCCAAAAAAGACTCGGAGCAGATTATTCAGATCAGATGAGTTTATGTTATTGTGTCATGTTGCTTTTATTAGTTTTATTCTTTGTGGAATTGAGAACGTTCCCTAGCTACTATGGTGAAAGATCTTGTGGTTCGACTGTTGGTGGGTCATCCCCAGCCCAAGTTCCTTCATTGCTCACGACTTGTCATCTTTTTAGATGAACGGCTTAAGGTGCTAACAGAAACCATGAAGGAGTGGCAATGTTGTTATTGTGGTCAAATTACAGCCTCTTTACTTGGCAGTATTTCATCTTGCAGGGATTGATACCACTAGAAAGATGTCTCCGAGAGATTTTATTGTAATTCATAGTTATACAAGTTAGTTTGTAGCATGGTTTTCAATTTTGAAAACAAAACAATTTCAGACGCCACTGAAATATGAGAAATTTTGAAAAAGGAAATCACAGATTTCAGATTACTTTGGGGTTGTGAGTTTCCAATATCCACTAAATTTTAATAAATTTAACCAAACTTAAAATTTGTTTTAAGATTACTTGTAGTCTGGCTCAAAATTTAATATTCAGTAAATTTCAATAAATTTAATCAAACATAAAATTTGTTTTAAGATTACTTGTAATCTGGCTCAAAAAATCAGGGTTCCAAATACTTGAGACCCACCAAAAATATGAAATTTCAACCATGTGTTTGTAATTTGTTGGAGCTTGAACCCAAAGGCATTGTTGTACATGTAACAGTTGTGATTATGAATAAAGTTATGGATGTTTTCTATAAAAAAAATGTATGTTGTGTGTCCTCGGTTTGAGAGAGACAGAGGAGACAAGAATAGCAGAAGCATGGATGGACCAAAATGCATGCATCTCTCATTCCTGCATCCGGCTTTCTTGGCTGCCTTTCTGCCTGCGTGCGTCAACAAACAACAAATCTCTTCCGATTAATTAAGATCCAGGTAATTAATTACATGCATTCCTTCATTCCCACTTCTCTCCTCTCCTCCCCTCTCCTGTAATCAATCAAACGATCGATTCATTCATCCTTGCTTGCTTGCTTGTTAATTACATTACATTCATGGAGATCGTATGCTGTTGTTGTTGTTGTATGCGTAGGATTGGAGATCATTTCATTCTTTCCTGATTATTCTTCTTGTGCTGTGATTGTCTTGATGATGCATGCATGCAGATCCACCATGTTCATGTTGTGAGCTCATCGGGTGCGCCGGCGGTCGACCTGCGGTGGTGCCGGTGCCGGTGCCATGGACGAGGAGGAGGAGATTGAAGGGGCGCCGGCCTTCTTCCACCGCCACCCTCTCCTCTTCTACTTCCTCCTCTTCCTCGCCTTCACCTACGCCTTGGTCTACCCCGTCTTCGCCTTCATCCTCGCCGCCGTCCCGGTCTTCGTCCTCACCGCCCTCCTCCTCGGCATCGTCCTCCTCCACAGCGTGCCCCAGGATCATGACCCGCATGTCTACAAGAAGATCACCCACCGCCCACCACAATGCCAACCAAGCAGCAGTACAGCCCCCATCGGAGGAGGGAGCACCAGACATCACCACCAACCCTCCTACGAATCCAGCAACCCCTCCTCCTCCTCCGCAGACGAAAATGACAACCACCCACCCAGGGCCATGTCCACCGCCTCCTCACACGCCTCCTTCCCCGACGACACCGCCGCCAACACCGAATCTGAATCAACCGACTCTGACCATGAAGAAAAGCAGCACAACCACCACCGGTCCGACAAAAAGGACGCGGTGCGGGCCGTCGCGTGGACGGCCGATGACGCCAAGAGCATCGAGAACATCGGCTCGCTCGAGCTCGAGATGAACGCCACCGTCGAGAAGCTCATATCCAGGCGCCGCGCCCGCGGCCACCAGCGACCCCTCCACCAACACCACCACCAACACCATCACGTCATGGACCTCGCCGACGACCCGTCCAAGCTCAGCATCGCCACCAGGAAGAGGAACCCCTTCGACCTCGACGGGCCCTACGACGAGGACGACAACTTCCCCGACTCCGCACCCTCCATGCTCGGCCTACGCCCCTCGCGCAACCCCTTCTTCGATGATATTGACGACGATCTCCATCTCCAAGCACCACCGCAGCCGTCGTCCATCCCGGGGGCGGCCCAGAAGAACGCCATGCTGTTCCGACGGCACGAGAGCTTCACCGTGGGTGCGCCGCACGTCAGCGACTTCCGGCCATCCCGCTTCAGGCCCTACTTCGTCACGGAGAAGATGCAGGGCCAGCCGGTCACGGTTCCCGAGGCCAGCCGCAAGAGCAGCTCCTCGTCCACGTCTTCCTCCTCTGCGGGTGCCACTGCCTATGCTTACGCCTATGCCTACGCCTCCGCCAACAAAGAAGAAGAGGCAGCAGCAGAACAAGAAGAAGCAGAAGCAGAAGCAGCAACAATGTCGGAGGAGGTGAAGAGTACCGTAGAGTACAGCAGCAGGTCTCATGAGGTGGCGGCGGTGGACGTGGAGCTCATCAGCGACTCTTCCAACGATGACATGACACTGCCTGGTGGCAGCCATGCCCATAAAGAGCATCAAGTACCGGTACAGCAGCAGCAGCAGGCGGCTGAGCAAGAGCAGCAAATGAAGATGGAGCAGCAGCAGCAGCAGGCAGCTGAGCAGGAGCAGCAAATGAAGCTGCAGCAGGAGCAGCAGATGAAGCTGCAGCAGGAGCAGCAGATGAAGGAGCAGCGAATGAAGCAGCAGTTGGCTGAGCAGGAGCAGCAAATGAAGCAGGCGGCTGAGCAAGAGCGGCAAATGAAAATGCAGCAGCAGCAGCAGTTGGCGTTATCAGACGATGACGAGGGGGATTCGTTTGAGGTGGAGAGCATCACGAAACAAGTAGCAGCGGCGGCGGCGGGCAAAACCAAGCAGCTTGAGACAGATCCTGCATACGACTACAGCCCGTCAAAGACGGAGAAGGCAGCATTTGCCCAGTTACCTCCTCCGGCGCCGCCAAATAAGCTGCAGACGATGCGGAGGGTGTTCTCAGAAGAAGACGCGGATGAGCCATGGGCAGCGCCGAGCGGAGTGGAGGAGACAGCTGAGAATGAGGGGAGGGAGCAAGACCCTCCTCTTTCTGCTCCTGCTGCTGGTGCGGCCCCTCCTCTTTCTGCTGCCGCCAAGAAAGCTATCGGCAAGTCGACCAAGGCGTACAAGCCGCCAACCAAGAAGGCAGTCTTAGGCTTCTTCCGCAAGTGACCTCTTCTCTTCTCTTCTCTTCTCTTCTCTTCTCTTCTTTTCTGTAGAAGACAACACATGCAAAGCCTCCTATACTCTCTCAGGACCTCAATGTAAAAAAAAAACAAGGAAGAAAGCAAATACCTTTTTACTGATTGGCCTGGCTCTGTACATTATTATGTAGGAAGATATTCCTAACTTCATATCATAACGAATTTTTATGCTTTAGCAATGCACCACCATGCTAATTATTCCATCCATATGTATGTACTCAGTCGGATTCCTTGTCTGACCACCAAGCAACCGAAAAATGCCCACCAACGCTGCTATATCACACCTCATTCCCCTATGCATTGGCCATCTTTCTGCATTCAAACACCCAAACGCCATGAATTCTGCCCTCACACTTGTCTCCTTCCACTCTCCCTCTCTCAACCCAAAACAGCGCCTCTTGTCCCGGCGACACAAGATAAGCGCCAAGTCGGGGAAGAGCCAACAATGTTCGCCAAAGCCCATACGATCAATACCAGGGCCAAAAGCAACCAGGGGTCTCAACAAAGCTTTCCATGGAGATGGAGATAATGCCTTACCATCTTCCCCCCTGACAGATGTGATTCACGAGTTCTATTCCTCCCTCAATGACAAGGACATCGCACGGCTCATGGAGCTGATTGACCCTGACTGCACCGTCGAGCACGCTTCCTATTACAAACCACTTAACTTCAAGGTTATTCTCTCATCTGCTCCAATATCTCTGCATATCTGACCATCAAGGCAACAAACAAATAAATTAGAACCAAGTTCCCATACTCACAACAATAACAACAACTTTGCTGCTGCATGCAGAAGACGATGACCTACTTCGCAAGGCTCATGGGATCCATGGGGGAGAATGCCAAATTTGCCATCGATGAGATTTGTCAAGGAGTAGAACCCACTGCTGCCGTGGTATTGTGGCACCTTGGTAAGATCCTGCAGCGTGGAATTTTTTCACATTATATATATAAGTGGCAGGCAGTCTGGTAAAGTACATGCTAATGATATCACCTTGTTGCAGAGTGGAAAGGTAATATCATCCCATTTACCCAAGGCCTTAGTTTCTGCACGTGTTCAGCAAATGGAGACGAGCTTCTTATCAGGTAGCAGAGATTCTCAAGAAAACATATTCTCAAAATTTCCATATAATATTAATACCATGTTTCTATATTTCCATCCATCTCTTGAAGATTATATTTCTTTTAGATGTACTCCCTCTGTAAAGAAATATAAGAGCCCTTAGACCACTACTCTTATATTTCTTTACGGAGGGGGTAATAAATAAATGTTTTCACCCACGCTGCAGGAAAGTTCATATCTTCAATGAGTCACCTGTGAAACAAGGAAACCAGGCACTGGTAGGCATAATTCTGCTGCTGCATCCAACTATATTTCTTAGTCTGACTACCTCTAGCTAATTGTGTTTCATGAAATATTCCAATCCCTACAGGACATACTTCATTCCGTTGCCTATTCGTTCGACAAAAATCCAGAATCAGCTGAAAGTATGTGCTTCATAAATTCAACTTTTTAGTACAGTAATAAACTAGAACCACTTAAAACCCAGCTAAGCATGGAAACACACATGCAGAAATTCTACAGGACACAAAAGGGCTTGGGTCCTTTGTCAAGCTTTACGAGCTCTGCATGGAGCTTACCGCGCGTCTTTTCAGATTTGTGGCGGGTGGATTGATTACGGGACTCCTCATTTTGTATAGCATATGCAAGGAGTTCATGTAAGGAGGCAATACCACAGGAAATCCCACATTTTCAGAAGAATAGCAGTTCTCAAAGATACCCTGGTTTATTTCCCGAGGCTCATCCTATTCTTGCTCCTGTGAAACAAAAAACAGTGTCATTTCACTCTTAAAAGAAAATGGCTGTCGGTGTTTGTAGGAATGTGTATTGTTGTAAGAAAGACAGGAAGTACTGAGCAATGCTACTATCACATTCTAATATTACTATTGTGCCTGCCTATGTGTGGTTCCTTCCTTGTGTGTGGGATGGTGAAATCCTTGGTTAACTAACTATAAGTGGATACCATCATACCGTAACTCTGCATTGACTCTAAAAGAGTATGGTTTCAGTACGTCGACAAGTCAGACTGGATGGGCATGGCCTCTGCCTCTGTACTGGCTCATTTGTGATTGCAGCAGCAGGAGCAGGAGGCATTGGAACAATTACCTATGGCGTAACCAAGTAAGCTGGCGTCCATGCGGAGAGTATTCAAAGAAGATGAGGCAGATGAGCCATGGTGGTGCCCGGCACGCTGGAGGAGACGAGGACCATGAAGAATGAGGTTCCCACTTCCTCCTCTTCCTGAAGCTGCTGCTCCTCTTGCTGCTGCCGTGAAGAAAGCAGTCCTTAGGCTTCTTCTTCAGGGAAACTCAATGTAAAGCATAGCAAAAGGAACAAAGCAATACCTTTTCACAAATTGGCATGATTCTTACCTTGCCTGCCTCTATATATTATATCCAAAGCGATTCCTTACTTCATATGGTAACAAACAAATGTTCATGCTTTAACATTTGATGCCAGGAAGCTTCTTCCCCTCTATGTATACTCAGATTCATTCTCTAACCAGCAAGCAACCAGAAATGCCCACCAACCCGACATGACTATATCACACCTTGTTCCACTATGCCTTCACCTCTTTCTGCATGCAAAGCATACACCCAAACACCATGAATTCTGCCCTCGCGCTTGTCTCCTTCCAGTCTCCCTCTTCTTTCAACCTAAAACAGCACCCGCAGTCCCGCCACCAGCAGATCAGCATCAAGTGGCGGAAGAGGCAACTATGTTCAGCAAAGCCCATACGAGCCATACCAGGGCCGAATGCAACCGGTGCTTACGGTGGAGGCAATAACTTACCATCTTCACCCCTGACAGATGTGATTCAGGAGTTCTACTCCTCCCTCAATGACAAGAACATCACACGACTCGAGAAGCTGATTTCCCTTGATTGCGTCATCGAGGACACTGCATATTATAAACCGCTGGATGTCAAGGTTTTACCCGCATGCATCTCACTTTTTCATCTGCTCCAATATCTCTATGCATGGCTCAGTCCTCTGCATATTTAACCATCAGGCCATTAATTTAAAGTCAGGTTCCCATACTCGGAATTCACAGAAACAACTTTGATGCATACAGAATACCCATACTTACTTCACAAGGCTTATGAAAGTTATGGGGAAGAATGCCAAATTTGCTATCGATGAGGTTTGTCAAGGGGTAGAACCCACTGTGGCCGTGATGTGGCACCTTGGTAAGATCCTGCACCATGGAATTGGAATTATAAGTGCCAGGCAATCTGGTGGATAATTGTATCATCATGCTGCATGTTGCAGAGTGGTGCGGAGAGATGATCCCATTTGCCAAGGGCTGCAGTTTCTTCATGTGCTCAGCAAATGGAGCAGCGCTTCTTATTAGGTATATGAGATAAATAACTACTCTAGAGAGCATATTCTCTAATTTGTATACAATACAGTGTTTCAGAGTTTCCATCCATGTCAGGCAAGCTGTTGGAACTATAATGCTTTAGTGGTTATATTCCCTATGCTTTTTTTGTTTGGAAACTAGGGTTTGGCCTCTAGATAGATATTTTTCTCTTAAGAGGTAATGCTCCCCTTGACCTGACACAGAAATGTTTTCACCCACCCTGCAGCAAAGTTCATATCTTCGACGAATCACCCCTGAAACCAAGAAAGCTAGCATTGGTACGCGTACTAACGAGCTTCTTTTTTTCCTGCTGCACCCAACTAAAATTTTAGTTCCATTTAAAATCTTAATGAAATATTCCAATGCTTACAGGAAATACTTAATTTTGTGACCAACGTGTTCGACACATTCCCATATATAGCTAAAGGTATGCTCTTCATCAGATCAGCTGTGTAGTATAAACTAGTATTGGTTAAAATCCAGCTAAGCATGGAATTACACGTGCAGGTTTCCTAAAGAATAAAGAAGCACTAGCTCGGTTCTTCGCGAGGTTTTATAAATTCTGCGGGCCTTTTATCGTCCCTCTTCTTGCATATTATACCGACGTCCCTATTCTTTCATATTATACCCGCTTCTGGTCATATGTGGCACAAGGATTGACTATGGTGCTCAACATGTTGTATAACATATTCAAGCGGTTCCTGTGAAGAACTAATAGTATTACTGAAAACTTCACATTCAGAAGAAAAGAAAATATCGAAGGTACCCTGTGTGGTTGCAATCAATTACCGGTAACATCACGGGTGAAGGATCAACGAAGGACCTACAACAACCAGCTGCCATATGGGGACTGTCAATGGCCCAGAATATTCCACATGATGTTGGTTTGTTTCCCAGGGGCTTCCTATTTTCGCTCCTGTGAAACGGAAATGGACATCATTTTCACTCTTAAAGGGAAATGGTTGTTAGCGTAGGAATGTATATGACCACAGGATATTGTTGTAAGAAGAACTGACCAATACTATTGCTACATTCTAATATTACCGATTTACAGCATCAAATAAAATGCCCCCTGGATATTCTGCTTACGAATTCTTGTGTAACAGCTGCAGTAGGATCTTATAATACTTCCTCCGTCCCAAAATTCTTGTCTTAGATTTGTCTAGATACAGATGTACCTAATACTAAAACGTGACTTGATACATCCGTATTTGGACAAATCTAAGACAAGAATTTTGGGACGGAGGGAGTATATGCCTACTTGTGTAGTTGTAGGTTTTTCTTTAAGAGGGAATACTACCCCACGATCTGTATATTACACTACGCGGTATAGTCTGCACTTGACAGGAAGATACTATCTCTGTAAACTTTTATAAGACGTTTTAGGTCACTACTATAAAAGTTCACAGAGGCAGTATTTATTAACGTCTGCAGCATTAGATATTCCATTTGAAGCTTGAAATTAACTCCATATTCCAGATTATTTTCCTTCTGTGTGGGAATAAAAATATCCATGTAAAGAATGCTTCAGTCTCACTAAATAATGCAAGACAAAACAATTATCTCTTGGAGTTTCATATAATGCTTACCTGAACTCAAATCATTGACGATGTATTAGAGGCAGTCTCCTCCGTCTTCTTCTGGAAGTGACGACAACCAAAATCAGCTGCTACTTCCTCTTCCCCTTTCCCTTTCTCTTTCTCTTCCTCTTTCTTCCTTCCTTCACAAGTCCCTTATCTTTTTTTTCTGTAGACAACCAAGGAACTCAATGTAAATCAGAGCATAAAGAAAAGCAAGGAACAAAGTTATACCTTTTTACAGATTGGCATGATACTTGCCTGGCCTGACTCCATAAATTATGTAGGAAGACATTCCTTGCTTCATATCGTAACAAATCTCTATGCTTTAGCAATGCACCATGCGAATTCCATCGCATTCCATGCCAGGAAGCCTCCCTGCTATACTCAGATTCATTCTCTAATAGCCAAGCAACCAAAAATGCCCAGCAACACTATATCACACCTCATTCCTCTATGCCTTCACATCTTTCTGCATTCAAACCCCCCAACACCATGAACTCTGCCCTTAGGCTCGTCTCTTTCCAGTCTCCCTCTATCAACCAAAAACAACGCCCACTGTCCCAACGGCAGCACATAAGCGCTGAGTGGAGGAAGAGGCAACAATATTCGCCAAAGCCCATACGAGCGATACCAGGACCAAATGCAACGGGAGGACTCAACAATGCTGAGCGCGGAGGTAATACCTTACCATCTTCACCCATGACAGATGTGATTCAGGAGTTGTACTCCTCCCTCAATGACAAGGACATAGCACGGCTCACGGAGCTGATTGACCCTGATTGCACCGTCAAGCACACTTCATATTATAAACCACTGGACATCAAGGTTTTACCGGCACCTCATTCTCTCATATGCTCCAATAACTCATGATTGAGTCCTCTGCATATTTTACCATCAGGCTATTAATTCAAAACAGGATTCCCATACTCACAACAACAACAACTTGGATGCCTGCAGAATACGATTACCTACTTCACAAGGCTTATGGAAGCTATGAGAAAGAATGTCAAATTTGCTATTGATGAGGTTTGTCAAGGAGTAGAACCCACTGTTGCTGCAGCAATATGGCACCTTGGTAAGTTCCTGTAGCATGGAATTCAAAGAAATAAGTGGCAGGCAATCTGGTGAGTGATAATGATATCATCTTGTTGCAGAGTGGAACGGTAAGATCATCCCATTTACCAGAGGCTGCAGCTTCTACATGTGTTCAGCAAAAGGAGAAGCCCTTCTTATTAGGTAGCTGAAATTAATACCCACTCGTGATAGCATGTTCTCTAATTTCTACACAATATTGTGCTCTCACCTTGGTATTCTCTTTCTTTCTAATGTCGCATGTTCTCTAATTGACACCGCAGGAAAGTCCACATCTTCAACGAGTCACCTGTGAAACCAGTAAATCTGGCATTGGTAGGCATACTATTACTAATAGCTTATTTTTGCTGCTGCATCCAACTATATTAGTCTGATTGACGAATACCTCTAGCTAATTGCCCTCCATGGAATATTTCCAATTCTTACAGGACATACTTCTATTTGTTACCTTTTTGTTCGACCTACTTCCAAAACAAGCTGAAGGTATGTATATATGTATAAACTCTTCAGTAGTATAAACCATAATACTACCTAAAATCCAGCTAAGCATGAAAGTATATATACATGCAGATTTTCTACAGAATCCAGAAGCACTAGTCCAGTCCTGCGTGAAGTTTTACAAATTCCTCCTGGAGCCTGTTATCGTGTACCTTCTTGCATATTCTATCCGCTTCTGGTCATTTGTTGTGAAGCTTTACAAATTATACCTGGAGCCTTGTATCGTGTATCTTCTAGCATATAATTTCCGCTTCTGGTCATTTGTGGCACGAAGACTGGATACGGTGCTCGACGTGTTGTATAACATTTTCAAGCAGTTCATGTAAGGAACTAATATATATCCCAGAAAAGTCTACATTCAGAAGAATAGTCACCATGTGGTTGCAATCAATTACCGGCAACATCACGAGTGAAGGATCAGAGAAGGACCTATAAGAACCAGCCACACTTCGGCAAATGTCGATGGATCAGAATCTTCCACGTGATGTTTATTTGTTTCCCAACACTTATCCTGTCCTTGCCCCTGTGAAGAAGAAATGAACATCATTTCGCTCTTATAAAATTGCTGTTAGTGCAGGGATGTATAAATATAACCACAAGATATTGCTGTAACAAGTACCCAGAAATACTACTGTCACATTCTTATATTTTCCTGACAGCATACATAAAATTGTCCCCTAGAAATTCTGCCCACGGATTCTTCTGTAAAAACTGCTGCATCATTCTACAATCTATGCATGTTCGCGGTTTTTCTAATTTTCTTCAAGAGGCTACCCCACAATCTGTATACTACACAAGTTATTTATTTACGTATGTGGCATTAGATATTCTATCTGAAGTTATTTAGAGTTTAGACCAAGCATTCTGCCTGTCTTAGCACATGACGCTTACCAGAACTCAAATCATTGACATTGTATACTGACTAAGTGGATACCACATACCATACTCTGCACTGCAGTGACTCTCAAAGAGCTTGATTCAGAATGGGGTGGAACATGATCTATTTTATTTTTATAGAATGTCTCATGTGATTTCAATGCAGAGGAATTTCTATAAAAATCCTTGAAGAGGAAAAAGACCGCTGACAAAATCCTCCGTTGCTCTTGTCGTAAGCCCATGCTCGATGTCGAAAGAAATAGCCTGAGGAATAATCCTTGTGGCTCTTATTTTTTGGCGGAAAATCCATATAGGAAGCATCCAAGAACCTGGCATAGAGAAACAGATCTTAGCTCGCATCTGTTAGGCTTTAGCTTGAATGTCTGCATCACTCTTCATCCTGTGTTTCCATGGAGCACCACACTCATGTTTCCAAGGAGCACCACTGATGCCTGAAAGGGTATTCTGAAATACTGTGTCCGATGGGTATAACTCCAGTGCCTTCCTTGTGATATTTTCTGCAACAACCAGATCATTATGGAGCTCGCAAAATGCTAACAGATTCTTGTACATGGACACGTCAGGACGGATGGGCATGGCCTCAATGGTGCATGCCGCCTCCGTAAGACGACCCGCTCGTCCTAACATATCCAGAAAGAGCGTGTAGTGGCTCCTTTGTGGGGAAACACCAAACGAATTCCTCATAGAGTTGAAATGGTTGATGCCAATGTCAACGAAGCCACCATGAGTGCAGGCATAAAGCACAGCAGAGAAAGTGATACTATCAGGCTGTGCCCCAGCCAATGTCATGTCTTCGAAAACCGACAGCGCTTCGTAATAGCACTCATTGTTGTATGCCAGCCCAGATATTAGTGCGTTCCACGACACGACACTTGGCTCCCTGATTGAGTGGAAAACGCTCTTAGCATCCTCCACACACTTATGCTTGCTGTACATGTTGATAAGGCTGTTGGAAACTGGGACCTGACTGCTCAATCCCAATTTCAGCGAGCAGCAGTGCAAGTGCTTTCCAGGCACTACGGATGGCAAGGTCGCAGCGGCAGAGAGGAAGCAGGCGAGACTGAAACCGTCGATACGAACCTCCTCACGAAACATGAGGACCACCAACTCAAGGGCCTTGCTTGGAAGGCCGATCTGATTCAGCCCCTTTGCAAGGCTTGTGTATGTGAGGTTGTCCCTTGCACAGACCATTGTTGTCGCGACTGCCCACGCGTCATCCATTCTTGCAAACCTGGAATAAAGATCGACCAGCGAGTTCCCAACAGACACATCCAAAGACCCAAGGCTGGTCTTGAGCACATAAGCATGGATTTTTGTAGCATGTAGGAAAGATTCTGAGGAGGAGCCACAGCCCTTGAGAAGGGTGGAGACGGTGAATGAGTTGGGTTGCACCTCGCTGGCCCGCATCTCTGCGAACGCCGCAAATGCATCCTTGTCTCTGCCATGGCGTGCAAGTCCAGAGATCAAGGCAGTCCAGGACACCACATTCGGGCTGTCTGTGGCACTGAACGCATGGAGCAGGTCGAGCAGACGGGCGGACGACTTGCTGTACAAGTCGACGAGCGCGTTGCAGACAGAGATGTCGTGCTCCAGAGCAAACTTGAAGACGCGGGCATGGAGCTGCCGTCCAGTCTGTGACGCCTGGGGCTGGGCAGAGGAAGAAGAAGCACAGGCGGTGATGATCCCGGAGAAGGTGAAGGCACTGGGCAGCACGCCAGCCTGTTCCATGTGACGGAACATGCGCAGAGCGGCCTGGAGGTCTCCTGCGCGTGAGTAGCCGGCAATCATGGCCGTCCAGAGCACGACGTCCGTGTCGGGCGTGGAGCAGAGCACGGCGTGCGCGTGGTCCATGAAGCCACAGCTGGAGTACATGTGGAGGAGCGCGGTCTTGAGCACCAGGTTGAGGTCGGCCCCCCAGCGGAGGAGCTGCGCGTGGAGCTGCCTCCCGTGGCAGCACAGCTGCCTGGAGGCGCAGAGTGCCAGCAGGTTGGCGAAGGTGTGCTCGGTGGGCGGCGCGGCGCCGGCGGCGAGCATGCGAGGGTAGAGCGCCAGGGCCCGGGCCCAGTCGCCGGCGCGGATGAAAGCCGACATCATGGCGGTGTAGGCGACGGCGTCCCTCCGCGGCATTGGCATTTCGTCGAACAGCCTGGCGGCGGCCGGGAGGTCGGAGCGGGCGGCGGAGTAGAAGGCGAGCAGGGAGCAGGCGAGGACGGGGTTGGAGGCGGCGAGGCCCCGGCGGCACGCCTGCGCGTGTATCTGATAGCCCAGGCGGGCGTCGCGGCAGCGGAGGAGCGCCGAGTAGGCGAGCTCGTCGGCGGCCGCGGCCGGGTGGGCGGCGAGGACGCGTCGGAAGACGGTGAGCGCGGCGGCGTGGCGGCCTGCGCGCGCGTGGTCGGCTACGGCGGCGGCCCACGAAGCCGCCGCACGGCTCTGGCCGACGCATGGTGCCGGCGCGAGGTGGCGGCGGTGACGCGGCAGCCGCAGCGGCATTCTTGTTTCTGGCTGCCGCTCACTCAGAGTCGGAGTCAGAGTCAGAGTCAGCTACAGATACATAAAAATCCATTCTTTCTTGTGAATTTATCACTTTCTTTCCATTCAGTTTTCAAAATTACAAGATTCAAATCCAGATAGATAGACTCAAGATGTAGTAGATATAATCCATTTCCTTCACTCACACATTGTAGAGGCTCAAACATACTAGTATTTTCTCTAGCTAAAAATATATAAACAGCAGTAGCATTGACCTGATGAATCTATTTATTTTGTTATCTACAACTATTTGTTTGTAGATGCTTTGATAATCTTTTTCATTCATTTCTGCAAATCCAAATGGGCTGAACATGATCTGCTTCATTCATTCATTCATTCATTCATTCTTAGGTTGATGAACAACAACAACAACAACAACAACAAAAGTGGCATTCTTAGATTGATCTGATTATTATAAGTCAAGTGAGCTTGATTTGATTGGATGCATCTCATCTCATCTCCCTCTGCTGTCTTCTCTTCTTTTACACAATCAAAATGTAATATATATATTTTTTGTCACAGCACAGCACCACAAAAGGACAGTCACTCTTTTATATATGTGCAGAAAATCAAATCAAATCAAATAAGACCCCTCCTTCCTTCCTTCCTTCTAAGGAAGATCATCCTCCTCCTCCCCTTCCGATTCGTCCGCTACGACCACAAGCCGCAACGGACCGCCAAACAGTCTGCTCAGCAGCGTTTGGTTCAGCCCTCCTATCCTTCGCGCCGTGCCAGAATGCCAGATCCTCGATGCCAAGCCCTGCCACCTGCTGCGCCCATTGTCCCGTGACGACTCGCTGCGGGGAACGCCGCATGTATGGGGATGCAGATAGTAGTTCAGGACGAGGCCGTTCCCGCGAGGAACGACCCCGAGGTCTCGTGACAGTGCCTTCCCCATTATTTGGACATGAGATATGCTGGAAAAGAAGTAGATACATGATTAGTAAGTACATCTGTGCGATGGGGAAAAGGAATTCACAGTTGCACGACACAACTCACCATATGTAGTAGAGACCATCGATTGCCTGTTTCTGAACCCTCCCAAGAAGCTCAACCTTGACCACCCCGCCAATACAGAGAACCGGGTGTGGTAACTTGAAGGATTGCAAAACATTTTCCTGAATGAAATATTAAATCACACATAATAATGTTACTTACTCAGCAGAGCAGGTTTACACAAGGCGACTGCAAACATCTACATATTACTGTACGTATTAAACAAAATCCCAAGTGACCTCTGTAATATAAACTTTAACAACACTGCTACTGCTAGAAATAGGTGGATGAAATGCAATTTCTTCATGCTCAGCCTTCTAAGAATGTTCCTGCTCTATATCAGTTGTTTGATTTATTTCTACAAGAGAATAGATCCTTATGTTGAGAGGGTAAAAAAAAGCAATGTATAGGCCTGGGAATATCAATCATGTATTAAGCTGACATTTAAAAAAAAAAGCAAAGCAACAGACCTGCAGCATTGGGAATTCTGGAGATGTGTAGGTCCAGACGTAGTTTGTATCATCAATCAACTGGCCTTCATTTTCATCAGAGACGAGTGCTTCAGGGCGTAGCGGTGAGCTTGGATAGCCCATCTGGACCCGGATGCTCTTTGGCGAATATATCGGGTCGCCATGCTGGAAAAACGCTGCAAGGACACATGAGATGAGGCCTTTTAACGTGTTTTTGAACCAGCCAGCCATCTTTATCTTTATATACAGAAAGAAAGAAAGAAAGAAAGCAACCTTTGAATGGCTGCAGCTTGATCTCGTGAATGAGGCAGAGATCGGCCTGGAGGCGATATATGAGGCACTCGGGCACGGCGGGGTCCCTCTGGCCGGCGCTGGACCAGTAGGATGGCCTGTTGGAGTCAAGGTGGTCGACGGGGTCGAGGGTGTTCTCGATG